CCCCAAAACCCCAAAACCCCAAAACCCCAAAACCCCAAAACCCCAAAACCCCTAAATACCGTCCTGACTGATTTAATAAAATTAAAATTTACTCTTAGACAAACAATGGGACCTTATTTATCAACCCCAGATAAAACTAAGCACAGTGAGGATGGCTCTGGAGCTAAGGTAAGCATGAATCCTAGTTTTGACTTTCTGTTGATACTTGTACCAACTTTTTGCGCTGATTACTGAACTTCTTCAATCATTAAGGCCTGAAACGTGTTGCTAATTTTTTACTCTTTAGCTCAGATATGGAGCCACAGGAATGCAAGGATGGAGAAACACCATGGAAGACTCACATATAGCCCATATCCTTGATGAAAGTCCTGGTAAGTACAGTTTTCGCATCTTTTGACAGGCTTTTGAGTGTTCAAAGTGCTTTGTATCCGAAATTTTACCTATCTATTAAAATTTTGTTAATAAAGGTTGAATACTTCAACTCATTTATTCCCACCCAGCTAAGCTTGGGGTGGGTAAGGTCACCAATGAAGTTGTCTAAGGGCGTACTACTCCTAAGCAACCTTTGAGGCCTCCCACCACTCTAGTACAAATTTTAGCATGCGTTACATATTTTGGCATTTTATGAAATGTCGCTAATATCACGTTTAGGAAGCGAGCTTGCTGTCTTCGGAGTTTTTGACGGCCACGGTGGCAACCAAGTCGCCGAATGGATACGAGACAACTTTGCTCAGGAGATGTTTAAGTTCCAAAGCTATGCTGATCAAGACTACTCAACGGCTCTGAAGGAAACTTTCATTAAAATGGATGAACTTCTGAAGACACCTAGGGTGAAGAAAGAACTTGAGAAGTACTCTGGAAGCGATGGCGGAGGCATGGGTGCCTATTCTATGGGCTCAGACCAAGATATCGCTAAGACCGTCGGATGCACAGCATGTGTCTGAATCATTACTAGTAAGGAGGTAATCTGTGCTAATGCAGGAGACTCCAGAGCTGTCTTGTGCAAAAAGGGAGTAGCCTACCCTCTAAGTGAAGATCACAAGCCTGAAAATCCTGATGAGAAGGCAAGAATAGTAAAGGCTGGAGGATTTGTTGAAGAGAACAGAGTCAAGGGTATGCTGAATCTTTCAAGAGCCCTTGGTGATCTCGAATATAAACTCGACCCAGATCTTGAAGTTGAAGATCAAATGATATCTTGTGTTCCAGAAATCAAAATAGAGAAGATTGACAAGAACACAGAGTTCCTCATCATTGCTTGTGATGGAATTTGGGACTGCCTAACTAATCAGGAAGCTTGTGACTACATCCATGAACAAGCAAGTATCTTGAAGAAGAAGACAGGAAGCATGTTCAAATGCTCTTTCCTCAATGAAAGAATGTTTGACAAGATTATTGCTGAAGATATTGCTGCCTCTGGAGGGCTTGGATGTGATAATATGACTTCTGTTATTATCAGCATCAACGATAAAATCTAAATTTACTACTTAAGTTCAAAAAGAGTTATATGTATTTCTCAATTGGTATATGAAGAGCTGGGGTTTTGGGGTTTTGGGGTTTTGGGGTTTTGGGG